TAATGCTTGCTACACTCCTATGTTTCTGCTTTTTAAGGCCATGCATTAATGGGCCACCTTTCCAGTCTCGATTAGATGACTTAGTTTTTAACAGCCACTATCAATGAAGGTACAGAAGAAAGGATTTTGCTGTGTTTTCAAAGCCAATGACATACATCAAGAGCACACTTGATAGACAAGTAACCTTCTTCTATACATTGGAAAAGCTATAAAATGGAAATTTATTTTTTATATCTAGAAGCATGGGGAAAATACCACTAGTAATATATTCTACTTAAACTTACTAGCCTCTCCTACAAAGGTCCTGAACAAAATTACAAAAAAAAAAAAAAATCTTTTAAAAGATGATCTGACAAAACCTGGCCAGTATTCTACACAATCTTCTAAGTATACGTATGTGTGAAGTTAAGCTATTCAGTACATGCAGACTGCAGTGATTGAACCAATATGTCCAATTTCTAAACTTGTTCTAATCCACCTGGGTAACTTTTAAAAGATATACTATCTTTAAAACAACCTGTCCTTTGATCTTTCAACAACTGAATGATTCTAATCCCAAACCAATTATTCAGTACAGCAAACTTACATTAAAGCAGGAAAAGTATTAATAAAAAGGCTATCCTATCTTTAAGCCAGCCTTAAGACATAAAATTGTCACCGAGTCCCCATGTGGCAAAGGTTTTTAGTTCGAATTACTTCCCTTTTCTGTTTGATCAAATAACAGAGAAGTGCATCCAGTGATTTGCAAAGCTAATAAAACTGCCCTGTTTCAAGAAAAGCCCTTTAATAGATACAAGTCAAGTTCTGATTTAAACTGAACTTTATTAAAATAGATGCCAGTTTTCCTCTTCTAGTTCCACTGATGAGCTAGCCTAGACCTATAATTTTGAGCTCTGTTTCCAAAGATGGTAAATCTAAGAACAATGTATTATAATAAGGACAGATAGGTCACTTTTGGTAATGACACACAAATTAAACTTTCAAAACATGTGCATAGCTTTATTCATCTACTTAGATCTAACCTTTTCACGGAGCTTCAGCAAAATTCGCGTGTGCAAAATGCATTTCTAAAACGTAATGCAAGCAAAGCTTTTCACATTTACACTGGCAGGAAATACAGAGAAACTAACAAGTCACATTAGGGAGAGTTCAGATCTTTTTTTTAATGACAAGAATTGCACAGTTTATTATTTTGAGACAATTGTTGCAGACATAAATATTTAAAATTTTCTAAGCAAGGTGCTTTAACAGTAAAAATTTTAAAGTTGGAAAGAGCCAATAACTTGGATCATAGCTCACACAGAATTCCAAATGCAAGTGGACTCCATTATCTCCCTAGGTTTTGCAAACAATGCTTTTTATAACACTTTTTCTTAATAACACTAAAGGAGACAGCAAGCTGAAACTTTTTTTTCAAAGCACACAAGAAATGGTGTCATCACATTACTTGAAGAAGGTGCTGAGGGGGGAAGAAAAGGGAGTGAAGAATCCTTTTACTATTTCCCACTACAGAACAGCCACTAACAGACTAAGATCAAAAAAGAAAAGAAAAGGAAAGGAAAAAAAAAGGAACAACAAAAAGATTAAAACATTTCCCCAGTTTACAAAATAGTTCCAGTTTGACAAGATCTATAACTTTAAACAGAGAGCACCAGTTGGGCAATAGAATGAGCATTTCATACTGCATAAAAATTAGTGAGGTGGTAAGAACCATCAACTATCTCAGGCATTACTACATGGCCTTTCCAATTTTTTTTTTTAAATATACATGCAAGGCACATTGATATAAAAAATAGATCTCTGGCCAACAAATATATTAAATAAGCAAATTAAAAGTTTGGCTTTGCAATATTGGCAACATCAAAATATAACCAGATAGCTTTGGACCATACATCTTTCTCATATTCCTCCACCTCATTTATTGTTTCTCCCCCATTATTTTGGGTTCGATCTCCTTCAAGTTTGGGTATGTGCTTGAGAAATGACTTTTCCTCTTGTCAAGTAGCATTCCTACTATACTTAAGTTTACCTTTGCTAAGTAAAAACATACTAGAGAGAAGCAGAATAGTTGGAGTTTTGATTGATTTGATTAAATTAAATCTGATTGGTCTGGGGCAGTATTATTTCTCCTCTGTATACAAACAAAAAAAAAGTCCCCAGCTTACATAGACAAATGTTTTCTTTCTAAAAGATCAGCAACAAACCAGTAATACTTCCTTTAAGCCATTCTTCCCAATTCCTCTTTTTGAGGCAGAGAGAGGGAGTAATAGAAATAAAGCTAAGATTTAAAATATTTTCAGTAGTAGTAGACATTTTAAGGCCAAAAAGTGTAATATTAACACAATTTTTATTTTCCTAGGTTATTGTCCTTCATAGGCCAATACCAACTATAGATGAGTTACTTGTACTGATTTCCTCCCAAAGAGAATTTTAAAATTCACTCACTTTTGTTAGTGGCTGTGCTACAGGAAAGGTATCAAAGCAACCTATGGTACATGTATGGTGTATAGTAATGTAAAAAGTGCATCACATTCTTGATTTTCAGTTTCTCATAGCAGCAGCAGGATTAATCTAAGACAGAAAACAGTTGAATTTTCATTCTAAAAATGCAACAATACCTAATGAAATGTATTCAAGATCATGAAAGGATCCTCCTCTATAAAGGATAAATGAAAATAGACTAATAATAGACATAAACAGGGGTAAACTAAAGGCATTCATCCATATTTACATATTAAAACCACTTTTGTTAATACCAAATCTTTACATCTAGCAAAAGAAATAAGCATTTTAAGAATAAAGCAGACATTACTAAAGCAGTATCCCTTTCTGGAGCCTTTGATTAGCACCTGAGGAAAAAAGGGTATACGGAAAGCTATATGAATTTACCTCAAGTTGATTTGTTGGTCTGCAGAGTAACTTTGTGATATACAATAAAAGTGAAACTGAACTGGAAAATAAATGTAGCTATTTTAATAAGGCTGTAGAAAAGGGATACTGCAGTATTATAAAATGGCTTTAGAACTCTAGACATAACAAAATTCTATGGATAAATAGGGAAGTTAGAATCAGCAATCCCAACACATGTGAGGATGGCTGTTTCATACTTTTTAGCCTATAACTGCTATTTGACAATCCCAGTAATACAGAAACAACACACCATTCATGCTTCACTGGGTGTTTTTACTACACAGACAACTTAAAACTCCATTCATTCTATTGCTGGCATCCTTTAACTACTTTCTTGAGCAGCAAAACAGTGTGAACTTTAATTTAAAACCCAGTAAAGCAGTGCTTTTGAGTGAAGCCAATTATTCATCATTCTTTTAATCAACCCAGGGTGGGTCTGGTTCTCACACATTTGAACAGAGTGATGTATGTTAAAAAAAAAAAAAAAAATTTTAACATACTCAAAGCAGAAGCCCATCTTTTTACCATAGAAGAATCTTGGTGCTCTCTTAATTACATTAATAAAAATAACATCAATATTAAGAACTAACGTTAACCTACGTGCCTCTGGCAAACCTAGAGTAGCTATTTATGCTTCTAATCTTGTCCTCTGCCCCTCCCTTTTAAACAAATATCAATACTTCGTGGGGGAAAAGATTGAGCAGATACTACCTTCTTTCCTTTAAAACCCAACAGTTAAGTCATGAGCAGGACTAGTAAAAGACACTGCCCTATCAGAAACTACCCTGACTGGTACAGCATCAACAAGACCCGACCATAGAAACTATTGTCCATTATATATATTTGTCCCATTATTGCGTATCTGTTCTGTAGTTAGCATACATATACAAGAAGGATCGTTGTTATTCCAGTACACGGTTCAGTGGCATAACCATACCCATAATCCTTGGAGAGCCTTGCAAGAATGACTCCCTCCTTATTTAGTGGAATTTAAAGTCGAATAAAGTCTTCTTCCAATTTCCTTGCTAGTGGCCATTTGGGACATGACATACAATTTCACACTAAATGGCTTTTCTGTTTTTAAAAAACTTTACAGCAATTACAAATGATAAACCATTAGATGCCTCTGATGTGGGTTAGCAACAAGCCTAACAACCAAGTATGAAACTACTGCTGCTATTTTGTATTAGACAACTCCCATAGTTGAAGTTTGTCATATTTTCCCTAAAAACCGTTTTGAAAAAACAGTGCAGCACTTTACCATTATAAAGTTTTTGCAGACTGAGTGATGACTGGGTAAGCAGATGATTAAGGACAGCAAAATTCTAAAATGGAGAGAAACTCTCTGGCCATTTGACTGTAATTAACAAATAGTTATTGGCTATCCCCTCCTAGAGAGCAGAGGAGGAAGAAAGGCTACTATGGATGTTGAAAATACATTTTATGTGATGGTTCCTTACTAAGGAGGTTAGAGAAAAGGCTAGCCAATTAACTTCAGTTTAGCAAAGTGGGAGTGAATAAAGAGAAAGATAAATACACCCTGTCTTTTGTGGAAAAGGGGGATTATTCAAGACATCTATAGGAGTGGTACATGACACAGAAGCCTACAATAATCAAGACAGATTTAAAAAGAAATTTTCACCCATAATTAGTATCTTCATAGCTATTAAAAAAATAGGTCATGATTTCATTCTTAGTGCCATTTTTCAAATACTACCCTTTTAAGGATTTAAACCACCTGACTTTATTCTGTGTAATGAAAACAAATGGCACAAAATAAATACAAGTTCATTCTCTGAATACTAATGTCTTACACACATTCATTTACTAAGTTTTAATATCTGCATCTTTCACTCACATACAAGCACTCAACACACATACACACACACACCTTTTTCAGTCTTTATAATGGAGGGATGTTAAAAATCCCCTCTAGACTGTATTTGGTTTATGCTACAGTACTAATACTCTGAGTTGAAGGAAAATTCTTGATACGAAAGAAAAACACATTAATGTTATTTAAATGTGCTAAATTAATCACAGCTGAAGTTTGTTTAGAAGCTTACACAAAAATAATCAGAAAACAGATCAACTCTTAAGATTTTTTTTAATAAGTGCTCTGTAAGGAATTGTGTGAGGACCTAAGGAGAAAGATTGCAACAAGTAGAGTTAAGTGTTACCAAACAGCACAAAGGAAATTTGTCCCAAAGTCCTGCTTGTACCTAGGCAATTAAGTCCATTAACCCAATGCCCAAAAAATACTGACAGTTAATATGACGGGGCACTAGCGTTCCCAGAAAGTTAAGTGACATTCCTAATTATATACCTCTAACCATATAATCAAGGAAATTTCAGTGGAGAAATCAAAGTGAAATGTTGCATTGTTTCATTTAGAAGTGAGACTCTCAAAAACCTTTGGACAAACAGAAGGGATACATTCTCTTTTTGGCTTCTCTGAACATGGAGGCCTGAGGGATATGAAAGGAAATTAGGATAGCCATATAATTAAGCGTTGCTTCTAAGTTTAAAAGCCCAATTCAGATGGGGGCCGGTGTTTTTTTTTTTTTTTTCCTTTTAGAATATATATTCATTCAACCTCTGTAATGTCACAAACCCAGAAAGTTTCTTGTGAGTTGTTGAGACAGAAGAAAATTCCAGGCAAGCAAAATGGACATTTAAAAAAAAGGGAGGGGAGGGGATCTGGCCCTAAGGCGACAAGTGGTTACACAAGGCAATTGAACACACAGCAGAACTTTAAAACCTGTAAAACAAACTGGAGCCTTTTTTTCCCTTTAATCAACCTTATATCTTTTTTTAAACTTTTTGAAAATTTTTATTTAAAAAACACAAAAACACAGACTTTTTTCACTTCAGTATGTGGTATGTTGCATTTTCCAGTTTGTTCAATGCTTTAAAGCTCAAGGATGCCTCTGCTTTCAATTGTACATGGGCCCGAAGCATCCTAGCTTTTGGCAAGCAGGCAGGAGACTCAACAAAAATCAAAATAGGAACAAGGCAGACTAAATGCAGGGCACATCTGTAAACATATTATACATTTGAAAATTACAATATCAGTAAAAGTGATACAGTTTACAGGTGAAATGAAACTATCTGGAACTGGCCTACCACAAGTTTCTGAACCTGGACTGATACAATAAGTTATTATATATATATATTATGTATAAAAAAGTTTTGTTTACATCAAGTGGAATTGGCAATCCATGCTTATACTTTTAAAATCTAAGCAGGGCAGAAATCCAGACTAAAAAGATATTTTCTCTACTCTATGTTGAGTCCAATAGCTTCTTTCATGAACTACTTGTTAAAAGTCTCAAATAATCAACAAAACGAGAAAACCCATCCATACTACCAGTCACTCAAAACTGGACATTTCTTAAGCAAAGGGGTAGAGCAAAAGTAGTTACTTTCTCCCGAAATACCCCAGGGGATCCAGTCTACTTTTATTAGAAGACTACAACTCTTTATATTAAATATAAATGCCCTGCTATTTTAACCTGTATTTGACATACATGGATATACTAATCTCTGTGTGTGTTGTTTATGTGATGTGATGCTATGTCAGGCCAGACAACTTGTTATTATGCCACTAACATCACCCAATCTTAATTGGACCCTTAATTTCTGCACACACACAAATAAATTTATTTTAGCATGCTATACACAAGCTGCAGTGCAACAGGATGGCAATGTGATAAGACAGGGCTAATGCTCTTCTCTGCCCAAAAGAAAATTTCCAAAACTTCACATTATTTTCCTTAAAAACCCATTTTGCTCTAGTACTAAAATATATTTACTAAGATATAATTAGAAGCTAGTAAGCTCAGAAGTATAGTTTGCATGAAAACACACCTTCTATAGGCAGGGTTTATTACCTTCTCACTGGCTAAAAACGAAGTTTTAGTTTTCATGGACCTTTTGCTTCCCCTTTTAGATTTTGCTGAGAAATTAAAAGACAATTTACAGAAAGGTACAGAAGTTTCTCTTTGATGTTTGAGGAAAAACAAGGAAAACAGCACATTTAGTGTTAGTGACAGAGAGCAAGTCTGGAGCACCTACAGTTGAAAAGCAGAATATATTTTTGCTCCCAGTTATACAATTACATTAAAATATGGGCACAGGAATATTTTTCGATATTGAATATCCAAGCCAATTGCTTGTTCTGCAACTTATTAAAAATGACACTCATGGATTCTTCAGTTGTTAAATTGAACCAAAACCAAGTTAACTATGTACCACCAACTATTCCAGAATTGTAGAACTTCAAGGCCCTCCCCTATCCCCACCCCACAAAAAATAAAAGGAAAGAAAGAAAAGATTTCCCCAACAACCCACAGAGGCTGCTTAACTCTTGGCAAGACATGCAAATCATATTCGCTAAAAAAATACACCCCTGCAAACTTCAAGGCATTTATCCAGCATTCTCGCAGGGCTTAAAGTAAAACCAAAAGATCAAAGGAGGAGTGGGGGGAAAATGTTGAATCATTCTGGGTTCCCCGTGATTAGTGTATCACTTTAGTCACAGAACAAGATACAGAGATCTTTTAAGTGGATTTGCCTTTCCAGTGGGTCATTTGTTGCCCAAGTTGATGACAGCAGGAACTTTAGAACCACACTTGTTAAGTCTGTATTCATTAATCACTTGCATTCACACTTAAAAACAGAAACTAACGATAGGAAAAAAGAAAAAAAAAACTATTCAGTACCGGAGATTAAATAACCATGTGTAGTCTCTTGAAATAAATTTGATTCCTTAAGAAGTCTAATTACTTTCAGTTGCCTTTTTTTTTTAAATAACTATATATATATATGTATATATATATATTTGTATATATTATCCTGTGATTCTACTTATGGTTCCTCTGCTGCGTTGAAGATCTAGGAGCATAAAAGCCTTGTGTCCCCCATGAACGGTGGCTCTAATGCTGCAGAAAGGTTACGAATAGGCAGTCTGGTCCTTCATTGATCTGGACTATCCATGGCTTCATTGTAAGTGATTATCCTTTTGGGATCTAGAGGGAAGATTTAAAAAAATTAGTAAAAATAAAGTCTGGAATCCCAAAATGCCCATGTTCCACAAACAAACCTCAAATAACCATCATTTAAATTGTACCCTTTTTTACGAAAACACAACTTAAAAAAAAGGCCATTTCTCTCTGTAGTAATACATGTATGATCCAATTGTTCAACCCAGAAGTAGCTGTTTGGCATTCCAATGAATTCCCAGTAACAGGGTCTTTTAGGCAATGAGGACCTCAACTCCTAAGATCAGAGAAGGTTGAGTTCAGTTACTGAGAGTTTTCTCTATGTGTTTCTCCTGATTACAGAAGCAGTATATTTGAAAAAAAACAAAGAAAAAAGCTTAAGTCACCAATGATCCAATACTGAAACAAACACTTGGATTTATTTTCTTTTGCTGTTCTGAGTGAATGAAGTCAAAATTTATTTTAACCAGTGTGGACTGTCTAGCAAGAAACCGTTCAAGCAAAATCTAGTACCAAAAACTTCATGTTATATTTGTTTGGCAGAACTTCCAATTTAGTCCTAATCATGACTTATTCCTTCTTCCTAATTTCCCACAGTACCATTAGCCTTTACTCTCAGCAACAGCAAAATCCCACGGATCTCCCAGGTTCATAACATAAAACTGTCAGAATGTGTCCGGGCAAAGATTCCAGAGTTATTCGGAAGTGCTATTTTAAATTCCTATTATATAGCTGTATGCGCCCCTCTTACGGAGGTGCAATGTTTTTATTATATAACCATTTCTATCTATCATTAAAAGTATACATGCTTAAAAAATAGGCAAACCAGTAAAACCTGCCATCTAATGGAAAATTTTAAAGGCCTGTAAATAATATTGGAAAAACTCAAGCTCACTTCAACCTAAGAATCAATCTACTTTAGTCTAGAGATAATATCATTTCTGGGACTTCAAGGGTCATTCACTGGCAACCTGCCATGAAGATAATGCTCACTCCTAATAGTTAATAGCCATTTTACAGTAAAAACATGTAGTTCTACTTTTGCAGGGTATATTTTCTAGTCTAGCTTCTTTTCATTTGTGTTTGATTAAAAAGGTACACGGAGGCCGGGCGCACTGGCTCACGCCTGTAATCCCAACACTCTGGGAGACCGGGGTGGGAGCTCGCTTGAGCTCAGGAGTTCAAGACCAGCCTGAGCAAGAGCAAGACCCCATCTCTGGGGAGAAAAAAAAAAAAAAAAAAAAAGGAGAATTGGCAATCCATGCTTATACTTTTAAAATCTAAGCAGGGCAGAAATCCAGACTAAAAAGAT